AGACAAAGGTAAATCTTCTGGAATCTTTACCACTGATGGCGACCATAAAGAACAATCATCAAAAATAAAACATGATTAGTTTCAGTTTTTATTGAAATCAAATTGTTGACAACATAGTTACCATTGCGCAGCTTCAAAACAGGAGATATATACCATCAAAATAAACGATACACACCAAAATTGTTTCATTTCCGAGAGCTTTTTCATTGTCAACTCATTTTCATAATAAGAACAACCGTATGGAACAAAATTTTTGAGCACGAATTTGGTGCATAAAATTCAATCATCTATCAAACTTTTAGCTCAAACTGAAGGACGATGTTTAGCCGCTAGTACTCAATATCTTTTGTCCGTTACAGTATGCTACTTTAGGCAAGCCAAAAATAGAATAATACCTATGGGTATAATTCTAGCAATGCTTCAGTGAACATTATTCATTAGTATTAGCAGATAGTCTATCAGTATTATCAGATTCATAGTTACTAACGAAATTTACACTGATTTCTTGCCCCAATTCGCGATTCCTAGATACTTGGAAAGAATCGAATGCTATGTATGGCTATGTTGATGTTCTTATGGACGCAGAAAACGAAATCTATGTCATTGCTGGTGCTAAAATAACGTCGAAGTCACTTTTCTGAATGCAGCAATTGTTTTGACTGCTACTATCATTGCTAGGGTTTGCTTGTTCGTTATCCTAAGTGCTGCTTATTTTGTTTTTGTGATTGTTGTAATTTCTAAGTATTGTGAGGTCGATTTTAGCATTTTTTTTCTACCATGAGAAAGATGAATAGTTTATTCATGAGTTTCACACACCTCACTCGCTCGAGTTGCACGTATTCGAACAGTAATCGGGTCATCAATCAAACTTCAATCAACAATTAAGTAAATGTAAACTTCACGCTAGGAAAGATCGAATGATAATAGATTACTTAGAAATGCAGAGTATAGAGCATTGATTTTGTACTATATAGTAGTCTTAATTGAACTGAAAACTACTCAAATTGCACTTAAACTGATATTTAATAGAATGACTTTTTTTCCTATCAAATCATTGATTCATTCAATGTAAGATATTCTATTAACTAATTTTTTTAGACACATGCCTTAAATCTATCGCCTGGGAATTTTAAGAGAACTGAAACTCAATTGCTATTCCTACTTCGATTTCGATGTGCTACAAAGGCAAGAGTGTGACTTTCTCAGAGATAAGTGCTTGAGGCATGGAAGAAACTTTATTCTTCATTGAAAAAATATTTTACTAGATCTTCATTAACAACTGATCATAGTTTTCTTTTCATGTCTGTATTGTTATTAATATGTGGTTTTTCCATTTATTGTTAGATCGTTCAATTTTTCTATTGACTAAAATGAGATATTTTTGTTTTTTTCTTCTGTCAACTAGTATTACATGAATACTGAACCAATTAGATGACGAACTTATTCCAATATGGAATGTTGTTTAACATATGATTACTTTTTAGTTGTATCATCACGCTCATATACCAAAAAGACAATATCAACAAGAAGTTGATTCGAATAAATATTCAATTGAAATATCTTCGTTTTTCTATCACAACTCATGCTCGAGAATGGTATAAGCTGTGAATAACTGTGATTAATATTCTTCTCGCCTATTTTGTTGATCTGGTAACAACACAGTTCTCACTGTCAGATAACGAGATTACATTCCATATGAATCTATGAAACAATAGGCATGTTCAGCAATAGAACTGGTACTAGTCTAATGTTAGGACTTATAGCTGTGGGAAAAAAGTCATATGAAAAATGAATTGATGAAAGTACAACGACAATTCTATTCATCGAACTCTTTCACTTAATTCTTCAAGTTCTATGATCGAACTCTATTTAACAGCAAGTGTCATCATGAATAAATCAAAGTAAGATTTCATACAATAATATTGATTAGTACAATGCGACAGTATCTGAGATGACATGAACATTGAGCATGGTATGATGCATGAATCTTGTGTACCAGAGTCCTGTTCAACGATGAACTCAATCTTCAATGCACATTTTGTAGGTTGTTTTGTATAGATAAATCATATAGAAATGGAATTTTGCGTAGGGTTAATTCTCAGTTCCATCATTCTCTTGACTTCGATTCTAGAGCTTGCTATTCAAGAGTAGATTGAAACTGGCATGAAAAAATGAATGAGTTTTACCAATGTTTCATTTAGCTAACGCATCTATTCTGATTTGATCATATAATTTAGCTATTCTTTTCGAAGATAACACGAATATTGAATTATTATTACCAGTACCATGGTAATACTCGATAATAATGTTAGCGCTAGACTAAGCGATGGTAGTTGTCTTAGATCTATCAATAGCATGACTGATGAATGATTTTAACCAGTATTAGATACAACTATTTCGGTAGCTCTAAACTAAAATGTTTGAATAGCTAGTTAACTTTTGTACGGTACTTGAATACATCTAATAGCGATAGGGATATTCAACTATATTTATCTACATATAAGTAAAATGTTGAATATTGAGATACTGATCGAAGTCTATACGATATACAAACGCTATGCACGAAAATTCTACTATTCAAATATATCGAAGAAGGCAAGAATCCATGATGTGTTCGATCGGAGAAAAAACGATAGAACATGGAAAATGATTCGTTTTCATAAAAGAAACGTTCAAGAATAAGCATGGAATCGATTTGAGATGATGTCACTCACGACATTCTGTAATATGACATTAGTAGATGAATTCATTAGAACAGAATTCTATTCAATTCTGTTGTCACCTTCATTTTATTCATCAAGTATCTCAAATCTTCATGAAAACTTACATGCCTGATGAATATTTTACAGAACCATTTCATTCACCTTAACTGCTGAATTTGATGTTTTAGTTTTCATCAAGAAAACCCGATCAGACTCAGAAAATAAATGAATGATTTCAAGCATGATTCTGTTTCATGGCAGTGTTACTCGTATTTAACCTTTAAAGTGAATAAATATTATTATTTGATTGTATCATCGATGAATAATACTAACCAGGGTAATGTCGAGATATTTTGTCGATGCTGAATAGCGGATTTCATTCATAAGACAATAGTAAAACTGACATCGTATGCGATTGGTTTTAAGAAGAATCACATTCAAATTTGACATTAACTTTGCTTTCTTTGTTTTGTGCTGGAACGATAGGAGGTCACGTGATGACGGAATTGTATCGAGTAGGATTCCGTTCACCAATGCTTTTTGTCTTAGTTGAAGGGCTTCCATATTCTTATTATAATAGCCGAAGACATCATAACGAAATCGTTTTCATAATCGTCTTATTCTTAAACCGTCATTGCTTGTTTCTCTCTCATCGATTTTTGTGTATTTTTAATAGCAATGAGCATGACGCACTTAATGAACGATTGTCAGCAATGATATGTTCAAAAACAAATGTTTGAAATTGATTGATTGCTGATGGATTGATAATAGAATGAAAAAAAGACATCATATACGAATTAGGCTAAGGTTCTCGAGTGCCAAGTTTATGTTCCATAATGTCATTCATCTCTCACCGTCAGATCTTCCTCACGAAGCCGAATCGATAACAGATAGAATATGATACATATCTACCAGGATAGTAGTCTATAAATTTGTCGTCATCATTCTATTTTCATCTCTTTTCTAGTAGTGTGAATAATGATGTAGACAACGAATTTTTCTTACCATAAAAATTTTATTCATCTATTTCCATTACTAACATAAAAAGAGTTTTACGCTCGAACTCCAATCGACAATAGAATGTCCAGTGAATCATTCTGAGAAAGAGTACATTCAACTATGTTCGCTCATACGGTTTATAGGGATCCCATGTAGCATAGAATCGATAAAAAGTATCAATATTGAAAAGATTTAAGCAGCAGAGTTATATTCATTGATTTCGTTCATATGAGAACAAACACATCATATATCAGTATGACGAATAAAGAAACAATGGAAAATGAATTCGCTCCATAAGCTTGACGTGCAAAAATGCTGTCTTCACTAATTGAAATATATTTTCTATGAAATGGAACCGATGATGCTGGTGCCGTACGAATAACTGTAAGAATTCATCTATCCAGTCTGGTGCTTTGCTCTAATACTAATGGCTCTTTGTGTAACGATGATCGATTATGAAATGGTTGATGAATAGTGCAGATAATGGATGTATTCGCAAATATTATCAATGCATAGAAAAATCAATTTTATATTGAATTGATTGAGTGATGTCCATATGAAGGAATTGATAGAAGAACAATTGTGTTCAACAAAATTCTAGGATTTCATCGCAACTTATTATTTTCGAAAGAAACTCATCGATAGCGTAAGAAACAAACAAATTTTACGATAGTTTCGTTCAAAATCCATGCCGACTCCGATCGAACATTGTACAATCATTGATCTGCCATTGTTATATAGTAAAGGAAGAAATACTACGAAATTTGAGTTCATATATATTGCCTTGTTAATTTAATAGCATCGAACTTGAAACGACATTGAAAAAAGCAACATAGATGGATCAGACACACAATAATTCCATTCACTTATGTGAGATGTTTCTATTCAATTAAATTCTGTTTTACTCTATTCAAAGAGTACACAACTCAAGAATTCTTTTGATTGCGAGTAAACTATTCGATTATGTCGTTATTTTCAATACAGATACGTTTATTAATGTGTCAATAACAGAAGTCGTATGTTCATAGAATCTTCTGGCAACATATGAATTCAGTGATAATATTGTATTCGATCTTTGTTTATGTTTAGCATAGAACAGAGAATTACATCGTAAAAGCATGACTTTCATTAGTGTATATTTCAAAAATGGCTTGCAGCTGGAACAAGTATAGATTTAAAAAGTGAACCGTCGGATAAGTCATGTAACACGAACAGTTTCTATTAGTTTTTCATTCCATTATGATGTCAGCTTTTTTTTATTGCGAACGATTGACCAGAGGACATTGAAGAATATATTACCTATGAATGATTGTTACATTTTGATTTTAATGTTGATGTTGATTGAGCATCGTATTCAAATCCTTGAGATGTTTCTAAATAAGCAATGATTTCCATTAATAAACCTATTCTATAGCAATTCCTAGTTTGTGTTTAATGAATTTCTTTTAGGAAAACAATCATCTTAAAGTTTTACATTTGTCTTATATTTCATTGTTCAGGTCAAAAACTAACTGAAAAACAATCACAATAGCTAAGCAATGCACACATACATACCACTTTTGGCTTCCAAGTTCTTTTTCTTCTTCGTATCACTAGATTTATATTCGAGATAGATCAAACGATTCCAATCTATATGTTCACTCCTTTCTACATGTAACTCTAAGAATGGATGTTGTTGTACTTCTCCGAGTTCTTGCTGAAGTTGATCAATAGAATTCTTCAGACGTGCGAGATCATCTTCCACAAAATCATCTTCTTCTTTTCGTTTTCGAAGTTCATCTACTACTGCCTGAAATTTTACTTTGGATTCCTCACGTTGTCCATTGAGCATTTGTGTAACTTGTTGACGAATATTATCTGCTGTTTGATTAACTTTTTGAATTATTACACTTTGCCATTGATCGATTTGAGTAAAAAGTGAACTTTGTAGACCACTGTAATGATTATTCTCATTGAATTGTTTCAGTAAACGATTTTGAGTATCAGTAATATGTTCGAGATTCACTTGTAATTCTTTTCGATGTGCAATAAAATGCTTCGTACAAAAATAATCTTTGCATCCTGCACAAGTACATGTTCCTACACTTGTAGAACATTTCGAACAACGATTTAAAGTCGTCATTTCTACAAATAATTAGAATTCGAATGATCTATACTATTTTGAATTTTTGAAAGGACATGTTCGAGTTCGCATCATACTATGTTCAACTCGAAATGACCATTCAACTACTGACGTTATCTTTTAGAAATATCACTAATGACACGTTTCGACTTCCTATATACGAAAAAGAATTGAATTTTTTTTTCAAATCATTAATCGCTCACCATCGTCAAGAAGAAAAAATGAAATGCAAATATGTTATTGTTCGTGTTTGTCAAATAAATGTAAAAAGTAAAACACACAATTCTTGTCATCCAAAAAGCTTGCTTAAAACATAGTGTTTATGTGTATGCGAACAGGTGACGCACAGAAGCAAAACATTTGCCGTTCTATAGACGAAGTACACATTTGCACATGTCACTCCTGAGCAGAATTTTATAATCGTTGACGAATGAAAAAGTTCCATATGAGCGATGCAAGTTTTTGATCTCGGATCGACAATATCATAGATTGTATAACAGATGGTTGATTTTGATATTCGATTATTTCCACTTCATTTATTTGTTGCTGATAGCCTAAAATCAGTTCTCATTTTCTCAAAATAAAAATAATGAGTAGCAAATATTGTAAAACATACCGAAATTTACTTTATTGATTGGAAAACTTACTTGAGTTCAATCATTAAGTGAATAGTGAAGCATCCTTATCTGTGACAGCTATGATGATAGATTACAATCATAACATCTACTTCGTGATGGTGGCACACAAGCAGAAGGTTCATATTAATGTAAAATATTGGAGAGAAAATTGCAGATAACAGTGTTTTTTGCAAATCGGAGTACTTTGGAAGAGACTATTACAATACAGTTAGGTTTAATCGAAAAAATATATCTATATCCTTAGTCGTAAACAAGGTCGAATTGAAAATTTTAATATTATTTCTTAGAAATTATCATTGTAGTTACTTCATGAAATAAAATTCTGTCTAATATTCGAGACATATGCGTGACGTCACACCAGTTGACAGTAAGTAAGTTGACATAACGTTTCATTAGCAATATAACTATCTTGAAGAGTGCGTTTAAAAGTTTTTAAACAGACAGAGAAAGCAAAATATTGAATTCTGAATAGAATAATCTATTATCATATCAATTAATCCACGAAAATCTATGATCTTACACCAAAATTTCTTGTGATCCTGATACACAAAAATCAGAGCACTGGAAATATGTTTTAAGATCTATACGAAAAATTGATACAAATAGAAATAAAACATTCGATCGTTCCTTAGGAAAAAGATGTCGAGTGCACTATTGTCTGTATGTATTTTGTAGGGACAAAGTAAGACCAGACAAAAGTGTTTCATGTAGAAAGTCAAGAATCGCCATAGATAGTTATAGAGAGACGTACATAGGTCAAGTAAAAAATTGCTCTGATCTTGGAGATTGTGTCCTGCTCGAAGTCAAAGTCAGAGAACAATATATCAAAAACTATATAAATTTGTAAACTTTCCAATGATATAGATTTCAAATCGTATTGAAGACAGTCAGATTTGATCTCTTATTCGGCAAAGTCTTTTGGCAAGATTGATGATCGAAGAATGAGCGATATCCAACTTGTACTGATACTTTTGGATTGTGTACTAAAGTAAACAGTAATTTTACTTCACCAAAATCCAGAAACTTGCTTTTTCTCCCTATCGCAAAAGTTGATTTCGAAACCTTTCGTCTCGTTTACTTGTTGATCGGTTTCTACATTGCGCTAAAATTTCATCATTCTCTTCTTCTATGTGCAACTTGATCATGACGTTAAAAAAAAAGCAGAAGATATTGAGCCATCTGTTGATTGATATAGCGTATAACAAACGAGCTGCTTTCCTATAAGACCAACCCCTTTCGACATGGCTCATCAGAACTCTATAAAAAACAAGCATTATCATGTATTTATTTCATCAGAACAAGTAAATACACGTTGTTTCGAAACATTTATTCTTCTGATCAAAGTAAAATGAAAGACAGTGAAACTTGAACACTTACCAAATGAAATACTAATACAATGCTTTGAGTTTCTTAATGCATCTGAAATTTTTCATTCATTCGATCAATTGAATTATCGATATTCTATACTTATTCGAAATATTTCATTATGCCAAAATTTTGAATCTATAAACAAGTCGACATTTGATCAATTTTATAAGAAAATGTTATGAAATCCAGACATGAAAAGTCAAATTTATTCATTATATCTATTAGACAAAGAGAAAAATTTTCGAGTCGAAGTATTTCTTTCACTTTTTTCACTCGATCAATTTTCTCATCTTCGAGCATTAATGGTGGCTGAAATCCACAACGACAGTATCACTAAATTGGAGTCCATGTTATCATCATTATCTGAACTGTGCTATTTACATTTGCCTGATGGATGCTTGACAAACAAAAGTAGACCAGTTGTTCTACCAATATCTAAACTGCGAACATTATCAATCATAACAGATTCTCCTTTGATGATCATTCATGAATCTTCATCTATTAGAAATCTAACAATTTCTCGTTGTTCTTTGACCGACTTGCATCAATTATTCATATACACCCCTGGATGAAAAATATGTAAATATTCAATATTTTTACTACCACTGTTCAACAAGCACCGAGGCATATGCTAACAATCACTATGCTGTTCATCTAAAACAAATTATTATCGATCAATTTAGTTTAACATTGAAGAACTTTGAAATGCTTGTGCAACAAATACCAAATATAAAAAGTTTAACAACATCTGCATATAACAATGTAGCTATAATTGATGGTTGTCAATGGCAACAGTTAATAACATCTTCATTACTTCACTTACAGACTTTCAAGTTCAAATTTGATTGCACACGTTATAATGACGTATACAAAATTATACACGAGAAGTTTCAACATTTTCAGACTGATTTTTTGGCATAAACAACATTATTGGTTTACTGAATATTCATCAGATAACGATTTAGCTATGATATATACAATACCTTATCAATTACACTACTGGCCATAAGTTCCTGGATGTACGATACTCCCTCATAACTTCAATAATTTTTCACGAAACTTTTACCAGAGACAGAGCTTAAAAAACTGTGATCGCAAGCACCAATCCGAGCTCTATCGACTGATATAGTATGGAGTTATGATTCAAACATTAGTTTCACCTCTGTTTACTTATTAATCAATATTCACAGTTTTTATGAAAAACATTCGAGATACTAGAGGTCTTGTTTAATCTTTAGGTTGTTTCGTAAGTTGTTACAGGAATACGCAGTGGGCATTTATTGCTCAATAAAGGCATCTCTGGAGAATAGTAGATTAATATTAATGAGCTAAGAAACAACTTAGAGATTAAACAAGTCTTCTAGCATCGCGATTGTTTTTCCAGAAAAACGGTGAATATTGATTTAGAAGTAAACAGAGGTGAAACTAATGTTTGAATCATAACTCCATACTATATCAGTCGATAGAGCTCGGGTTGGTGCTTGCGATCACAGTTTTTTAAGCTCTATCTCTGGTAAAAATTTCGTAGAAAATTATTGAAGTTATGAGCGAGTATCGCACATCCAGGGACTTATGGCCAGTAGTGTATTTCAGAGTCCTCTTCATTTGAACATCGTTTCTATATATCTTGATTTTCAGTGTTCAAATTGAAGAAAAAAACTTATCACATACAGAGTAACAATGATATCAAGTGAACTCGGTAAACTGCAATTCATTTTAAAAAGTAATAGTGAAATCATATATTTTTTCAAGAATTTAAAAATGAAAATTGCAAACTTTACATTATATTTATCTACAAATTAAAATTAAGAAAAGCCTTTGAACTTGAATTGAACTGCTGTTGAATTTACGTTTTATATTCGCACATGAGAAGATACAGCTCTTCTACTGTTTATTATTCATCCAATATGACGAACCAGAGCTTCATATAGGATGAAATGAGACGATAAAAATTCTCAACAAATTTATTATTTCCATCATGACTACCAAATTTTACGTCATTTCATTTTGTATTTTATGGTTTTCATACAAGTCGTTTGTCTGATGGGTTAGAATATTTTAAAAATCTTTCATGAGATGAGATATGTCTAGTATAATAATGTGTCATTATAATCTGATAAAGTATGCACTCTTTACGCTGTCTTCGTCATTTTATGGCCAACAAGTATCGCTTAGATGGATTTTGATTTCAAGTAGTCATGTGCTGCGCCATAATCATTCAAACACACAATCTGTTTGCTTCTTACTAATCGTTTGAATGTGCTTCGAAGACTGTGTGTATACAGCCAATTACTACTCGAAAAATCATTGAATTTGCTCACGATGAATACAAGATGTTCTTTTATTCGTGCAGAGCAAACACATAGTAAAATGAGAGAACTGTATTACCGTCTACTTAATATGAAACAGTCAGTGCTGTAAGTGTCAAACTTTCAAGTTTCATCTCACTGATTTAAGCTTCTATCAACGCAATATTTTTATCAGGTATAATAAGTTATAAGCAGTACGAGAAAAGAATCTATGTATAACAGAATTTTCCATTATTCTTTAAATAAATTATTTAAGTTAATGGACAATAATTGGAAGATATATAAGATAGTTTTAACAGCAGCAAGAAAATTCATTTCATTTCGTCTGACAATAATGATGACAAGAGAACTATTTAGTTCTGATTTTTTTTATGCAAAAATTGATTTTCAGAAAAACATATTAAATTGTGAAACAGAATGTTTTCTATATGCAGTAAAATTTTGTTTCTCCAACCTAAAATATCAAAAATTGACTTGGGTCAGATATACTTGCTTCTCATAAGAATTTTCAAAGTTAACCTTAATGAAAATATTAACCAAATAGAGAAAACGTGTCCAATCAGGGATCTGACATTAGACAGATACTATTTCAGACAATTCGCATTTTGACTGGTTACAATAAGCCCAATCAAAGATTCATCTGAAGATTTTAGGTGAATTTCAGATTGATCTGAATCAATAGCCG